CACCAGCAAAAAAAACAGCAAGGAAAGCAGTTTAAGGATCACGTACAGCGTCTTGAACTGTCGGTTGACCTCTAACCTTCTCGTGAGTCGTTACGATTGACTACAGCTGCTGACTCCGAGATTAAATCGAGTTTTTAGTCTCGTCAATATGTTGGTTTTTCAATACGGGGACACAAATTATGAGCAAAAGTAAGGAGTCAACTGAGCATTTCTACCTTACAACTGCAGCATATGGATGACTCTACGACACAGATTCAGACGTCCAGAGTTTCATAAAGGGTTGTTGCATCCCAAATAATCACGCAAGAAAGAAGCCCTTCGTACAGAAGCTGCACCTTTAGGCTCCACTGAAGTCTGCTGCTGATGGACAAAGAAAAGGCCTTCTGGAGGAAAGTTCTGTGAGTCGAGGCCTTTAACCCCAAGAACACCAAACCTACCATCAAGCATGGAGGTGGTAGCATCATGCTCTATAGTAGGCCCCATTTCAGGTTCAATATCTCCAGAAATATGACTCCCAGAGCCATGAAATTTGGTGAGGACTTAGAATTGTTTCCAGTGTATCCAAATGACTGAATGCCTTCAACAGAAATGACATTTTTAATTATTGGCTCTTGAAAACAGCAACATTTGCCACCATTGACATGGGGGAACAGTTTAGAAACAGCCAGGAGATAAGAAAAGGCCTTCTGGAGGAAAGATCTGTGGACGGATGAAAAGAAGATAAGAAATACGTTTGGAGAAGAGAGTGGGAGGCCTTTGACCTCAAGAACACCAAAACTACAATCAAGCATGGAGGTGGCTGCATCATGCTCTGGGGCTGTAAATGGATCACCTCTACATTCTTCAGGAAAACCTACAACCATCAGCAGAAGGTTGATCTTGGACACAGTTGGATGTTCCAACCAGACAATGAGCCCAAACACACATCAAAGTGGAAAAGAAATGGTTCCATCAGGCTGGAATGAAGGTTCTAGACTGGTCTCCCCAAAGTCCTGACTGAAACCAAGACGACAAGTTTAGCTGACCTGCAGCGATTCTGTCCAGAGGAGTCAAAGATGAACCAGAAGCTGGTGGACGGAGACCAGAAGAACCCAACTGAGGCCACATTTAACCAAATATTAAAATAGTATGTATATTTTTGATCCAGTGGATTTTGTTTTATTTCCAGACCTTTAATTAATCTATGAAAGAACCAAAATACATGATTGTATTTTAAGACAAAGACGTGTTTTAATAGAAAACACAGAGTAACAGGAGCCACTGGAAGCCCAATCCCGCCCTGACATACGTGGTCTTTACAAATGTATGCAAACTCTGGTTTACGACTGCATACGACACCGACTGCACATAATCAGCGTCTCTTTGAAGGTTTTAGCGGCGACCAAACAACCAAGAAATTGCCCGACACCCTTCATTTCCCCGAATCTAAAGAAAAAGCAGTGAAATGAGTTGCTGCTGGCTGCCTTTGTGCTTCCACTGTATGTTGGCTTGTGTGGCTGGGATTGTTTCTCTCTCTCTCTCTCTCTCTCTCAGACTCTGAATCAGCAGGTCCCTTCGGTAAACAAGGCAGAGTGATTGTTGGATTTGCATATTCCTGAATAAATTATATTGCATTTCTGCGATAAGCAGTGCACTACTGTTTGGTAGCTTTTCCTCCTCCTTCCCTGCCTCCTCTCCTCTTTCTACACCATTCACGCATGCTGCCACAAATTAACCCTGATCACGAGGGACCACGGCAAAGTGAGAAAGCACTGCTCAAAATTCATGTTTTTCGGCGGTAGGAAATCCATGCCATTGGCCCCTAGTGGGGCCCGGACTGCCAACTACGTGGATGGTTAATCAGGCCTGATAATGATGCATGCTCATGTCCGCCACCAAGGACAAGGATGGCAGCAATGGTGGGAGATGGAGGGTAGAAAGCCTGGGAGGAGAGGAGGTGGAGATTAAAGAGACGCGAGCTGGAGATGGAGGTGGAGAGGACTGAGTCTATGAAGGAATTCGCTGGATGAGCTCGTTTAACGTGGGTGCAAATTGATAGTTTGTGCGTGCAGCCAAACAGGCATATGGACATGTGTGCATATTCACACAACTGTGTCTAATGGGGCTGAGGGATGAGGTTCTTAATACATCCACACACTGTAACCCCTTTTTAATTACAGCCCTGGCATTGCTAAAGAAGCAGCCATGAGAGAGAGAGAAAAAAATTCCTCCATTAAAACCGCATGTAGGCCTCAGCCTTTCCCCCCCATCGGTTCAGCTGATGGCTGCTTTTTTTCCCCCCCTCGCTTCCTTGGGAGGATTGGGCTGGTGGTATTTTGGCTGCGAAAAGGAAACCGTCGGACGGCAGGGGCATGAATATTCCAAATGACTAATGTTGCACATGCTTATTTTTGACATATCTGGCTTCCGCGGGGAAATAAAACACTTCTAATGCAGGGGGACCATCTGTTATCTGTTGCTGGTGTTTCAGAGCAGGCGGATTCGCTGCACGGGAAAAAAAAAAAAAAAAAAGGAAACACACACTCGGGCGGCGCAAACACACACATCGGAACGCAGACACGATCTCAGCGGGAGGCCGGCGTGGACGGCGAGACGCTCCAGCAGCAGAATCCGTCGGGAGCAGCAGACAGCCTCTAAACTCCCGGACAAATTGAACGCCGCTCGTTCTGCGTTTTTTCTTTTATTATTATTTTGCGTGTTTGTCAAACGCGCTGTAAATCTGCAGGTGACGGCGGATGCACACGCTTTTTTTATGCCAGCCATAAATACCGGAGGCCCGTCTCCTGGCGGCAGCTGGAGCTGGAATGAACTCGCCGCAGCTTCTGCATATGCATCCTCCCTGAGATTCGCTTGAAACTATGGCCACAGGAAGAGGTGCGGGAGGTAAACAAAGCCCTCTCATGCATGGGTAATCTGTTGTTTTCAGACAACAGCCGAGCGTCTGGGTTACGCTGGAGCAATAAAAACGGATAGCTGGATTTCCCTTTCAGCGCCTCGACCGGTGCATTTTCACGGCGATGATGATGTTTCTGAGAAAGACATCAGCCGTCCCATCAGCAACAGAGGATAATGTACGAGTTTAGACCCAGAGGCCGCTTCTTAAAGGGAAATTGCACATTTTTATGTAAACAAACCTCAATAATGTCGCTCTATAGCTCTGCTAGCGGTCAAAACCGTCGCCAAAGTACTAAAACTGCAATTATTGAAGACAACTGGAAGAAATGTGCAGACGTTACCGCAGCAAAGGAGATAGTAGGAACATGTAGGGAACGTTATTAGAACGTAAACAAGTATTATACATGAGTAATATTAACTAGTCAGTGACTGACTGCACCAAGAGGACACTTCTTAAAGGGAAATCGCACATTTTGATGTAAATAAACATCAATAAAAACCAGCCAGTAACGCTGCTCCACAGCTCCACTAGTGGTCAAAACCTCTGGCAGGGACTGAAGCAGAAAGAAAACCAACAAATAAACAGAGAATTTATAAAATGTTTAAGATAGTTGGAAGACATTTACAGAGTTGCAGCAGCAAAGAGGATAAAATGTAGTGATAGTGGTGCAAAAATGTACAAACAAACAGTAAATACACATGAGTACCGTTGATATCGTTGATAATTTACTTTAAATAAACTATCAGCTGCTTGTATTGTTAAATTATCAGCTAAGTTTAAGGTGACTTTAGTTACCATCCATGAACAATCAGAAAAAAATAGAAATGCACAATGACATCGTCGTCGTCAGTATCGGTCGATTAAGGCTTTAAAATTAAATATCGACATTTGATGAGATCAGATTTAACTCTTTCTGGATCAATAAAGCACAACGTATAATGTCAGACATCACACCTGCAGATGGATGAGCTGCACAAGCCATAAAATAAAACATAAAAAATAAAAAAGAGCCTGTAATAAATCAGCTCAAATAATAATAATAAAAAATAAAAAAGTGAAAATTATGAAGAAAATAAATCTAAATACACATTTTTAAATTCTAAATCAGAAAAAGAAGCTTTAACTGACTAAAAATGATAGAAAACAAGCCGCACACAAAAATAAGTAAAACATCTAAAGCCCTAATTTTTATCTAAAATGAGCACCGACAGGCTAAAAGTTTAGTTTTGTTTGGAAACGTCACATAAAAATAATGACGGTAAGTTTTACATTCGATCAAATGAGATGAAATTCAACTTTTTGTCATTGCAAAGAGCACTGAGACAACGAATTCAGTTTATCATCTAAGACATTTAGAGTACGAGTGTAAACAGTGGATGTAAATATGTAGGATATAAGAGTATCCAACATGTATCAGTAATATGCATCTACGTTGGAGTAAAAGTGTAAATTTGAGCAGCAGAGAAGCATAATTATAAGTTAATGCAACTACAAGAGAGAAAACAAAACGTGCATGAATCGGCAATCGACCGAAATCAGCTGGAAAATATCAGAATATCTGCAAATAATCTAATGAATCAAATATTTGTGCCGTTTAAAAACCTGCACGTCAACAATGAACTTCTCCAACAACGAACCACAATCAGTTGGTTAATTAAGAACTCCGAAGACGAAAAATGTGTTGAATTCTGTCCTGGTGCATCGTGAGAACTTCTACGGATTCGAGCCGAACTAGCATCGGACAGAAATCACATTGAATGTAAAACTGGTTTTAACTTTTGTTCAACACCAATAGAAGCAGCTGCTGCTACGAAATCAAAAGATGAGGACTGTGTAGCATCACAGGTGAGGCAGCTAGCTAGCTAGTAAAGACTTCATTTGTGGGATCCTATCTGATCCTATGAGCCACTTTTCCCACCAACAGGCCTCGTTGTAGTTGATCCACTACCTCGATAAAAATCGTACGGCAGGAAAATTTGTGACACAATGAAGAGATTATTTGGATCGTACAGGCGTGCAACGTGACTACATCTTGTCACGTCGTGAATAAAAAGAAAGAAAGAAAGAAAGAAAGAAAGAGGAGGACGGTGGTTTAATAACTTACCTTTGTCGGCCGCCTCTAAGTGAGGATCTCCGCCGGCTGGTGCGTCTTTGATCTACGAGCACATAATGGAAGCAGAGACGGAGAGAAAACAAGGTCAGAGATCTGTGCGCTTCAAGACCTTGGGCATCACCTGCATCGCAACGTACAAAGCAAACAACAAAGCCCGGCGCGTACGCCAGAAAGTGATTTTAAAAAAGATCATCTGGGCTGGAGTCCGTGACTCTAATGCGCGACTCCCCGCAGACGCCGGAGACACTTGATGTTTTCAGAAACACAAGGTTCCTGTGCGACGCTCCCAGGAGCCTCCGAGAGGCGGTTTAATGATGAGAGACAACACGCCTGGATGCTACTTGCTCTGCTCCAGGTCGCGGGGGAGAAGCAAGACAATTTGAGGCCTTTAATTTGCTTTTACGGATTCTGGATCCTGTGGAAGGATCGCCAAATACTGATATCTGCTAATATTTACCCGCGGCTGGGATTCTACCTGAGGACGGAGGAGCAGAAGTGTGTCGTGCCACATCCTGCTGCTGATGCTCGTCGCATTAAAGAGAACAATACGACATTGTGCACAGGCGGCGTTGTTTCTGCGCCGCCGAGGAGGACCGAATGTGACAGGATTCCCACATATGGGACAGAGGAAATATGGGTCTGATTTGATGACACGCCGCATGCTGTCATTTCTCTTCCCTTCACTGGAAACCAGACTGTAAACTCAACTGTGCAAAAGTGAGAGGCGTCGCCAAATGCAATGTGACTCACCAACCTCTGAGGAGAACAAAAAACCTGCCTAAGATCACTGTGACATCTCATGCAGTATTTGCAGATTTTTTTTTTTTGTTTTATTTATTTTTTTATTTTTTTTGACACATTGGACTGAATACAAATGTGAGAATTGTCATGCGGGAAAAATAAATAAATAAAAAAAACCTCAAGAAAACATGTCACTGACTTTCTCTGCTTGACAAGCATTTTAAAGGAACGACACGGAAACGCTATTTTCATGAGGTTTGCTGAGCTCGGGTTGGACGTCTGGATGGGGATTAATGTCGAGTTCTGGGTTTTTCCTTCCAGCATCCAGGTTACAGTGATCTCGACTGTCTGAAGAGACAACGAACAGAGCATCCATCAATCCAGATCTCTGAGAAAACGTTCACTGAATGTCAAGACGATTTGCACGAATTTAACGTGCAGGGATAACAGTGAAATGGATGCAGAAATGCCCATAAATAAACTAAATCCACCTTAAAGAAAGACAAAAGACATGTTGTTTAACTGTATCAGGTACCAGGAGATGGTAAGATATCGTCAGTATTAACATATATTTACGTTTTCTCATTATATTGATAGAAAAAATGATGCCGTCACGATTGCGTTTCCCTCAAGACATATTTGTTGTTGTAATTTAGTCGCAGCCAAACGACCAAAACAAAACATTTCTTTATACAAAATCTAAACATAAAGCAGGTTAATGATTATCCGTTGATCGATTTAACCGATTAAAATTATATTAAGTGATTAAGCAGAAGACGAAGCTCATCAGCTGTAGTACCTGGTTGCGCCACCAGGTGGTGCTTCACTGTTTATTAGCATAGCGACCAGAGGAGGCGTCACTCTGACTCAATTAAGTTTACATTTGTAATCAGAGAGCATTGTGGGGGTTTAGCTAGCAAAGGGCAAAGACTTCTATGGAGGTTAATGACTCCCAACCACAGCTTTTAAATTTGAAATGAGCTGAAGAATTGAGTGGTGAATGTTAACAAGCAACTTTTATCAGAGGTAGCTCTATCGGCTATGATTTAATGATTAATCGATAATTCGTTGATAACACCGTCAACTGTCAGTTAGGAAAATAGTTTAGAATTTGCGTCTCTATTCAAAACACAACACATGTTGGCTAGCTTTGACATGAGGTCACTCCTATCTGAGCGGCAACCTTCGGGTCTGGAAAATGACGCCATTACGGAAAAACAAAACCTGCAGTTCCTCAAATGGCCACTAGATGCTGGATGCAAAAACGAGTCAATCCCCATAGACCTCTGTGTTAAAATGACCACCTTTACAGCAAAAATAAACATGTTTACAACCTGGTGCGAAAAGAAGATTTGGTCTCTGTAGCTAACTTCCTGTTTCACAACAGCTGTACAGAAAGTGGATATTCATAGAACTCATCTGTTTAGATTGTATGAAGGTGTAAAGTTATCGATAATCAAAGGTACAGCTACTCGACTCTTGCTTGTTTTTTTGATTAGCTGGACGTTAGGTGGAGTCGGGCACTGCCAAGATGGTTGTTGTGTTCGGAAAGTCCATGAGCGTGGTCACGGATTTTTATAAAACACTTATAACCGAACCTTATGGGAAAACATGCATGTTTGCCTTTAACTATAATACTTAGATTATGTCGTACACAGCAAGTATGTTCCTGCTAAAGTGCATCTAGATCTACGAAGAAGGCCGACGATGTCTAAGCCAACATAAAAACCTGGACTATATCCAAGTTTTCTTGACTCTCATTCCATTCCTGATATGAAATGCGGCCCTTTTCACCACTGTTTTTGGTCGACTGTAAAGAAACCCAGATATCACTGTGGAGCTACAAATCAGCGAAGCCTCCTCGTGGCGGCGGCGAAGGCACGCCCGGCCACAATAGCCTCAACAAGACAGGGTCTCCCGCTCGCATTGTTGCACTACGAGAGGCAGAAATAATGGAAGCATCACTTCAAGCGCCGTCTACCTTTTTTCTCTCGCCGGTTCTTGTTTGTGTCTGAGCGAAGCGAGACACTGGCAGAGCAAACCCCTTCAAGCAGCCAAATACGCCGCTCTCAGAAAATCAGCCGGCGCAAGAAAAACAGAGGCTTTCTCTCTTGAAAACTGTCTGCCTTTGAAGGATCTTTATTCTCGGCATCCCCCCTCGGCTGCCGGAGACTCGTGTTGCCGCTTAGACGCAACAATGGCGGCACCGCGGGTATTCGTCCGCCGAGATGCCGAGGCCCGGCGAATGAAAAGAGGGGCGCGCGTACCCAGGAAGCGGCTAATTAATTGACAAGCAGATATTTCTGAATTTATAATCATCAAACAGACTTCATTTTGTCCCCCCCCCCACCGCCGTCCTCGCCAAACCCGGCTTCCCAGGCGGCTTACTTAAGAGACTTATCTTATAAATACAGCCCTAATCAAAATAAATGACTAAAAGCTCTAAGGGAGTTGAAGGCTATACGCATTTACATCAGAGGAACTGATGCAATTTAAACAGCCGCCTGTGCACCGACGACTCAGGGTTCAAACCGCAGAGAATCCCAACTTATGTAATACTTCCAGTGTGTGTGTTTTTTTTGTATGTTTTGTTGTTGTTGCTCGGTTTGGCAGACCTATATTCATGACAGCCAAGTAGGAGAGACACAGCCTCCTTCTTTTCTATGTGTGTGTTGTATTGAATTCCCACAGCAGCTCGGTGAGTGTGTCACATTTTACAGAAATTTTCTCAATATTTAATGTGACACATGCTTCTTTTTTTGTTCCAGTGTGTTTTTCTTGCATCTGTGTGGTTTAAAAAAAAAAAAAAAAAACCCGTCGAACGGCAAATGTTTACTGCTTAATATTCGTCCTGCCGGTTTATAAACTCGGCTGCTGAGGAGAGGCGCGGTGATGGATGGATCGTCCAAGTTTCGCCTCGGCTTTGATTGATATGTCGCCGCCACCGAGACCGATGCGACAGATTGCACAGACTGCGGAGCCACGACTCGGCGTCTGAAAGTCCAACAGCTCGCTGGTAATTTAAAGGAAAGCTGTTGGAGAAGTTGAACACGAGGGATTCTGCCGGTCAGACTCGAGGTATACGTGGAGACTGCAGAGACCTTGTATCTCCGCAGAGCTCGATGTGTTTGGAGCTAATGCGAACTGAACTCGACTTTTTGTGGAAGTCTCGACGGACTGTAAGTTTTAGACAAAAGTGCGGAGAGGAGGATCGATGTGGACTCCATGTGGGATTGGGCATCCGGTACAGCACAGTCCTCCTAACTTGCCGGTAAATGGGCTGTTTCTGGTGAATTTTCTGACACCTAAAGTTCAATTGACAGTTAGTGTCAAGAAGTGGGCGTATGTAGTACGATCTGCAGCATCACATACATCCAACTACGCCTAGACAAGACAGTGATCGTCTGTCCCACTGGTGACGGACACTTGATCGAGTGTTCGCCAGAACACTGTTTGATAGTCTCAAACGTCTTAAATACATCAGACGCAAACCCCAAAAGGCGTAACGCTGTGGCTCATTAACAGCCTGTCAAACCATGATCATCAAATCAAATTTCAATCAACAAACTGAGTGGTTTTGTGGGTGTTGTAAGTCAGGCAGCAGCGATAACAAGTGCAAAACGGGACAAATCGATTGGAAAATGCTAAAACAACGCAAAACAGGACAATTTCGAGACATAAACAAGAAGATAAGAAAATATTCAGATGACCAAGAGCCAACCAAAAACCGAGAAAAAAGAAAAATCTCCATCTCATGTCACTGGGTGTGTTTTTGATTGTTGTGTATCTTCATCTATGAGCTAAAGCGGCTAAACTTGAAATTAGCTTAAACAAAACATGTCAATCACTGTTGATTAAAACAACTGAAAATAAGCGTTTTTGTCATGACTGAGGATGCTAACTTTTCAACACATTTCCTAATCAGTCATTGGTCATGTTATCAATCAATACTCAATAATCACTAAGACGCATGAAGCACATCCTTGCATTTATAACCACGGACACGAAAATGCTATCCTGGTAAACTTCAGCTTCATTCCAATGATAGAGCAAAAAGCCGGAAGTCATTAACCTCCACAGAAGTCTTCATCTAAGTCTAAACCCAACAATGCTCTCTGTTTGCCAACACAGAACTGTGATTGGCCTTCACCAGTCGTTACGGCATCGAACACAACTTATAAGCAGGAACAGGAAGAACCACCTGGTGGCACAACCAGGTACTGCAGCTAATCTACAATACAACTGTTGAAATATGCAAAGTTATTTACCTCAATTAATATGAAAGAATCAACAGAATAGAAT